CGAACATAGTTACATTTCCCTTTTTTTTTTTTTTAATCACAGAGGTTGAGGTTTTTTACTCTGTCTTGTAGATCTTCTTAAAACAGGCTCATTAGGGAGCTCTATGTTGGTATTTGAAGAAGTTGGAGCAATAGATTTAAATGGAGAAATTGATTTGTCGTTTTCTTCAGATGTATCATCTGCTCCATCAGTTTCTTTAAACGTTTCCAGTGTTTTAAGCAAACTGCGTCTGCTACGCCTGATGATTTGTCCTTCGTCAGTTCTCACTGCGAAAGATCGAGGTGCAACTTCTTGAAGAACAGTAGCTTTGGTCATCCATCCACCAGGTTCTTGAATCCTGACAGTGTCATTGTTGGTTAGAGGCGGAAGCTGCTTGGCTGTTTTGTCATACATGTGTTTTTGTTTCTTTTTTAGAGATCTTAGTTTACGTTGCAGCTTCGAAAGTTGCTTCTCTTTTGTGTAACATGGCAATGTGGTTCTCAGTTTTCTGTTCATCAACAGTTCTCCTGGTGACAATCCACATTCCAGTGGAGATGCTCTATAACTGAGCAAAGCGAGATAAGGATCTGAACCACTATCAGCTGCTTTTTTTAATAGCTGTTTAAGAATATGCACTCCTTTTTCAGCTTTCCCGTTTGACTGGGGATAGAGTGGGCTTGATGTAATATGCTCAAATCCATACTGGTTTGCAAACTTCTTCCACTCTTTGCTACTAAAACATGGTCCATTATCACTTGAAATTGTGTATGGAATGCCATGCCTGGAAAAAATGGATTTTGCATGTGTAATCACACAAGCTGATGATACACTTGACAGTAATGCCATCTCAGGAAAATTGGAGTAATAGTCAATGACAATTAAATAATCTTTGCCTTGAAGATGAAACAAATCCATCCCTACTTTCTGCCATGGTGCCACTGGCATGTCTGCAATGATCATGGGCTCTTTAGTTTGCTTGTTTCTGTGTTTTTGGCACGTTTCACATGCTCCTATCATTCTTTCAATGTCTCGGTTTATTCCTGGCCAAAAAACTGTTTCTCTCGCCC